TCACGACCTACCAGGAAATTAGCGATAACAAGGCTGACTTGGCCCCCCCTGACTCAGGTAAACTTTGAAGAAAAGGAAAAGGGCCCATGAGAAAGGCCACTAATGGCCGGATGGCGTCCTCTCCGTTCGTAGTTTGCTAGGTTGTAGGCCGGCCCTAGCGCTCTTCCGTGATTAGCATGTGCGTGGGATTAGCCCTTGCGCCGCCGCCGTCGCCCTCCCTGCTCGGTGCTACAGTATGATCAATAGCGACGCAGGTGCTTCACTCCTCGATTCTTCAAGCTTCAGCTAACGATCTACTGAACTAGCCATGGACCATGGTAAACACACTACCCTGTCTATTAATCTTTCTCAGTTCTCTTTCTGTTCGTGTCAGACTTATACGTCAGGTTTAATTACTTAATACTTTGGTTTTGTGATCTATGATGCTGTGAAGATTTTTGTTATCTTGCACGTCGTGCTGTAAATTTTCGCCGTGCTACAAGTTATCATCTACTAGTTCATATCTATGTACAAAGATTCATATTACGAATTTATACAACGTATCTAATTTGGAGAATTCAGTTCTGACTAATGAAGAGAAATGTGCCGCCACACACCATTCAAATTTATTCATTTTTAAAGCATGTCGATGCGACTAGTTATAATTCTCTCGGTCTCAATGGCCTACGTAAAGCGAATTTATTCGACTATTAAAATCGTCAAGACAGCTTGCTTCATCTTTGCATAATAAGCTACATTCACAGATAATTATAAGCTAAGGTACCAATTAATGATTTTACTGGCAACTATAGAGACAAATTTAAACAAATTCAAATGTACTGATGCTTTTATAGACCAAAGCAAAACCTTTATAATACTAGATGGTTATTTTTTTTCGCACTTGATATTTTTTTACCAACTTGGCTTGGCCCCCCCCTATGTCCAAATCCTGGCTCCGCCCCTGGCTGGAAGCATCCATATACGAGGAATAGATAACTCTTGGGGCTTGTCCGCTTGTGTGATATTACCGCCGTGCCAAAGCGTCATATATTTTGGCATGGAGGTAGTAGCATTCAAACAGTTGTCTTCAACATTACCAACAAGGACAATAGATGGAACATAATGGTTTGTCCCAAAGATACAAAATTAGCAGGGTAAGTGAGACCACAGCTAGCAGTTCAAAGCTGCTATCCTATCAAATGAAAAAGGCCCAGAGGTAGCAGCACATCTGAAAATTAAAACAAGCTTGAAACATATACCTAACTAGAGGAACAGAGGATGGAGAGAAGTGCCACCGTGTTGCAGACTAATTTGAAAAGGCAGCAGCTATGGCAAAGGCACTATAATGCGTCACTTAGGGATATAACATCACAATAAACACTGCATCAGTGCATGGGCCAATAGCTAAAAAAATTAGGGGCACTTGGTATTAACTTGCAGCACATAATCAGTCAGCCAGCATACACAAGTAATCATATAATGAAGTAAATAAGTAAGCACTTAATCATGTGACATCACTATATCAGAATTACACAGTATGGTGGAGCTATCAATCAGAGAAGGAGCTATAGCAGAATTACAGCATTAATAAAGACAGGTAGTGGATAGTACTCTAGGACTGCTCGCGAAAGGAGCAATGCAATACAGTATTTTTCTTTCGAAAACGAGGTTAAAGTTAAACCTGCCCGGGCTAATAAAGACAGATAGTGGATAGTACTATCTAGGACTAGGAGGAAGAAGAGGGGAAGAGGAAGGGAAAGGATATTGTTACGGGGTGCGGGAGAGGCGGTCTCTGGAGTTGAGGGCGAGAGGGTTGGACTCGCAAAGCGACTCCGCCGCCGCCGCATCACCCGACCTCGCGGCCTTGTGCAGCTGCAGATCCTCCTCCTCTCCTCCACCACGACCTTCTCCTCCTCGGCCTCGACCTCTGCCTCCTCCGCGCCCCCCGCCGCCGGCTCGGCGTCTCCCCATC